ATTTTCTCTTGAATGCCTCCAGCCTTTCAGGGCTTACCAGAATTTGGGGTAACTGGTTCCATTGTCTTACTCCTCTAAGAGTTAAACTGTTTTTCTTGATATTCAACTGAAATCTGGCTTCCTATAACTCGAGCCCTTAACCATGTGTCCTGCACTCTGGGATGATCAAGAACAGATTCTGCCTCTTATAGGACAACCTTTCAAATATTTGAAAAGTGCTGTCCTATCACCCCTCACTCTTCTTCTCTCAAGGCTAAACATGCCCAAATTCTTTCAGCCTTTTCTCCTAAGGCTTGGTTTCCAGTCCTCTGATGATCCCTGTCACCCTCCTCTGAACTTGCTTTAGTTTGTTAGCATCTTTCTTAAAATGTGGTGTCCAGAACTCTAGATGAATCCTACCCAGTGCCAAATCACACTGTTGGCAAGAGAGAAGTTAGTTGTAAACGTTTCATGATGAAAGGGAGAGATGCCCGCCCCTGCGCCTTTGCCTCTTAGGGCAACAGCTGGTCTAGCAGCTGGTCTAGCAATTTGATTCTGTTTTAGGTGAGTATAGCTCTGTGATCCTCAGTCCCTCTTCCCCAGGCTCTCCTCCTTAGCATCACACAACTGTGCTTACCCTGGGTCTCTTAAGAGGGATGAGAATGGTGTCAAAATACGGGGAATGACATGGCAGGAGCTGCTTTTGGAGAGTGTAAAGGACCAGATCCGATGGTGGTGGACTCTCCTTCATAGGAGGGTTTTAAGCAGATGCTGGATGACCCACTCTCAGGGATCCTGGTTTATTACATCAGCAGGGGTTATACGCGATGGTCTTAAGGGGACATTTCTGCTCAACCCTTCTATGATTCACTAAGAATAAGAAGCTGCCAATGCTCTGTTAAGAACAGCATTCATGGTCTTTATGCTTCTGTTCTTGAAAGGGAATTTTATACTACTCACCTTCAAATTTTATACTACTCACCTTCAAAAAGAGAACAATCCTTTGTCTAGATTAATCCCTGTAAGGAAGGTCCATGGACCTCAAAGAACTATGTGTAAGTTCAAGATGCTCCATTTAGTCAAGCTTCTCCTGCATGCCAGAAAAGCAAGTCCTTGCTGGCAGTCAAAAGTCAGCCGTGCTCCAGAATGGCTTCCCCTCCTTTCTGGAGAGTCCGGTGGCTGAAAAACAGCCCAAGTTTTTAAAGATATTTTATTTAAATTTATTAAAAGTATTTTCACCCTGCTTATGGGTCCTTAAAAGGACCCCAGGCAGCTTGTTCTGAAGCAAGGATCATAGGATCATCGAACTATGGAGTTGCAAGGGGTCCCCATAAGGCCATTGAGTCTAACCCCCATCTCAAGGCAGGGATCCAAATCAGATCTGATGGACGGTTGTCCAATTTTCTCTTGAATGCCTCCAGTGTTGGAGCACAAGAAGACACCTGAAATAAATAAAGAAGTCACCATTTCAGACAAACACCAAACATGTAGCAATCATGAAACCCCTTCTAAAACATGCTGTAGGATTAGAAGGTGTAGCTTGTCAGTCACTCAACTCTCCATACTTCCTACTTCTTCCTCCATCCGTGGTTGTGTTCACACAAGCAAAACGTGGAGGACTCTCTTTTGAGGGTGTCTCGCCTCCTCTGTCCAGGTCTTGTATTAAGAGCAGTCAGGAGGCAAGCTTGATTAAATTAACCTTGACTGTGTGCCTAAATTCTCCGAGCAAATATTTTATTTTCAGAGGTTGAACTTTGACTTCTCTAGAGCGTCTAACCATCAGCTGGCAAGAGCACAGGACAGTTTTCCTGCCTGGTTCCCACCTAAGCCAGTCCTCCCTCTTGCGCCATGCTTTGGCCTCTGTTTTATCCACCACTGCCTGCTAGAAAGCATTGCACGAAGACGTTTGAAGTTCTGCCTCGAGATGAAGTGGCTTCCACCATCCCTTCTGCTCCTGGGGGTAACAGCCCTTCTGCCGGGGGACTGTTTTGGTGAGTGTATGTGTGTGTGTGTGTTTGCATGTGCAAATCAACAATCCTCCAGTGCTACAGAGGAAGAAAGGCAGGATTTGCACCCAACCTAATGCATAGAAACTGAAGCCTTTCGCTCTTCCTATTCTCTACAGACTGGCTGCCCTTCATCAAGATGTCTCTGAGCATATGCCAACAGCTTTGCAACAACGGGGAAATGCAGGCTGCCCCTTAACCTGTCCGTGGCCAGTGGGCTGCCCTTTGGTGCTCTGTTGTGTCTCTGGAGCTGGGATAAAGCTAGAGCTATGGAGTTACTTTTCTATAGCGCTTCATTTTATTCTCCCTGGTTTTCATTTATTTGGCACAATTTCAGTTTTATTTGCACCACCTAAACCTAAATTCTACCTGAATCAAGCTGTCAAGGGCTTAACAGTCAAAGTTGCAACAACAGCTCTGACCACTTCAGTTCTCATGCTCCTTTTGATTCAAACCTCTTACTCACAGCCCTGCTCTTTCTTAGTCCCACCCCTTTGAATTGTACTAGTACAGCAAATAGGAGGATTGTGTATCTTCCCCCTCCAGTTATAACCTGATGCTGACTCAAAACTGGGCTCCTTTCGAGTTGTTCTGGAGCTTCCTAAGCAGCCAGAAACTGATATCCAGATGAAGTTCCATGCAGAGTTTAGGATTTAGAAATGGTCGGGGAAGGTGGGATGAGAAAAATTAGTGGCATAATGTAAGAGAGAAACAGAGGTATTTCTATGAAAGTGACCAGGGTAGGAGAAAGGTAGGATGAAGGACAAGAACTTTGGTACTGGCACATCTACATTCTAATCCCAGGACATGTTTTACAATGGGCTTTCAAATCACAGAGGGGTGAGATTGTGACTTATTATATAAAATTCATTTCCAGTATCCTCTTTGCTCACAAATACCGTACAATGGGTTCATTTTCATGCACAGTAGCACTGTAGTGCTTCTGAAATCAGGAATTCTTCCTTAAGGACACCTAAAAGAATGTTTTGACTTTCACTGAAACAGGCAAAAACACAAGGGAAGGAAAACAGAGAGTGCAGACCACTGTTTCATGCTGCAAAATGTGAGGCATCTGGCTTGCTTCCCTTTTCGGAGCACAACACCAAAATCAGCGGCAGATTAAAGGTGCCCAGGGCGGTAATGAAAGGCATGTGTTACAAGCCTGAAAAGCTTTCCCAAAATATTGTTTACTTTACCAATTGTTACTGTGACCCAGTGAGAGGCTGAGACTCCATTCCCTATCAGATCATGTAAGCAGCAATTGGGAAATTTGGAACTCCCTCCCACTGGAGGACAGTCTGGCCCTGTCTTGGCTGTCCTTCTGCAAGCAGGCCAAGACCTTTCTCTTCAGGCAAGCCTTCCCTCAGTAACTAACTGCCATGTATACTCATGAAAGATGTACTGTTATGCATTGTTGCTTCGACTGGATTATTAGCACTACTTGTATTTTCTATTTGTGGGTTTTCCATTTCTCAAAATAGCATTTTTTTAAAAAAAATTATATTTATTGAGCTTTGCCTCAATATTGCCTGTCAATGATATAAGATGCCTCCTTATTCATTTTCCATCGTTTTTAAATACTGTCTTTTAACGTTGTTAACCATGGTTGTATGTATACTCATGGTTTTCAACTTTAAATACAGTGGTGCCTCGCTTAACGAGCGCACTGTTTAACGACGAATCCACAATGCAGATTTTGCGGTTGTTTTTGCAATCGCATTGCCATGTTTTAATAGGTAACCCCATTGTATTGCGATGATCTTCACATTGCGATGTTTTCAGAACAGCTGATTGGCGGTTCCAAAATGGCTGCCGGATGAAGAAAATGGCTGCCCGCAGTGTTTTTGTGCCGATTCCTCACTTACCGAGGCAGCGAAAATGGCGGCTTTATGGGGAATCTTCACATAACAATGAGTTTTGTCCCCATAGGAACGCATTAAACGGAGTTTAATGCGTTCCTATGGGGTTTTTTGCCCCGTGTAGTGACGTTTCCGGATAGCGATGATTTATCTGGAACGGATTATCGTCGCTATGTAGGGCACCACTGCATTGTCTTTTGTTGTTTGTAAGCCGCCCAGAGTCCTTTTTCAAGGCAAAAGTTGGGGTAACAATATTTAAGTAAATAAATGCTGTTTGTAAGCCACCCAGAGTCCTTTTTCAAGGCAAACGTTGGGGTAACAATATTTAAGTAAATAAATGTATTTTATCTGCTTTCCAAACTCTTAGAGTTCCACCCTTCTATCCTTCCTGAAACACAATGAAAACAATAAGGCAACCTCCCAGGTGATCCAAAAAATAGCCTTGGTTGGCCACAAGCATTCTATGTGTCACCTTTTGCCCATGCTTTGAAAAACAAACACACAATGAACATATTGGCTGAACTCCACTTCTAAGTTGCCACGGGAGTAGACCGACTGAATCAGTAGAACCCGAGAAGCTGAGTCACCAAGTTCGACCAGCCTGAAGGGCTTCCTCAGCTTCTACAGATAGAATTTTTGGGATTCTCATAGGACAAAATTTGAAATTCTTCATTCTGGAGGTTCTGTCTGGCCGACAGACAGACAGATGCCCACATGTGGCTCAACTGGTTGGCTTTGAGAGTGAGCTAGGCCTAGCTTGCTCTAGTTTCCTGTTCAGAGATGAACGATCCACTTGCATAGAGCTGGGCCTAGCTTGGTCTCAGAGCTTTCCAGATAAGGCCTTTCTCCCAGGTGAGCCACATTTAGCTGTCTAAATACCACCCAGAATGGAGAACGGTGAGAATTGTAGTCCAAGAAAACCAGAAAAAATCCCATCCCTATGAATTAGTATGCTAAGCTACAGGATTTCAGCCCATGTTGGAAAGTACCCCTTACTGCTCTGCAGATGATCAGCAAAATTCCTGATTCTGATAATTACTTTGGTTCCAACAAAGGGAGGGAAATCAGTCGCATTTCACTTTGCTTCCCCACCCCCCGGATTTCCTGAGATGGCCCACGGGAAAGTACGACGAACTTGGATTTATCAACATCAGCCATGCTCTGTCAATGACCCCCTTTCTCGCTCTCTCCCAATAGTCTACCATTCCACACGTTCCCTGCGCCACCTGTACATGTCTGCGTGGGAGCCACACCAGAGCTTGCCGCAGTTCAGCGCTTCGCGTTATGAGGGGGACCACCTCCTCTCGTACTACGACAGCGAGACAAGGGAATGGGTGCCTCACCTTCCCTGGCGGATGGAACAAGACCCCCAGTACTGGGAAGGGCAGACCCAGATGATGCGCCAAGCGGAGGAATCTTTCAGAGTCAAGCTGCAATCTCTGGCGAGTCGCTACAACCAGAGCGAAGGTGAGAGAGGAAGGTGGTGGGCTGTTAGAAACACCGTCTCCCAAATTTTTACTTTCGTTGCTTGGATTTCGCTTTTCCTTGGGGGTGACTGTTGTCGTCAATTTCCACCTGTTCCATCCTTGGCTATATTGCGGAGGGTCTGTGAGGATCTCCTGAAGGTTTGCTTTGATGACAGCCGTGCCTCACAATTGGGGCTGCTTGGAAGAAAAAAGGTGTCACTTGCAATACCAAAGTCCCTTAATTAATGAGTCCCCACTCTGCTCCTGGACTGTGTGCCGGTTGGGTGGATTTGTTAGGACAGCCAGGAATTTAAGCAGGCATCATTTACCGTAGAATCTTAGAATAATTGTGTTGGAAGGAGCCTATAAAGCCGTTGAGTCCAACCCCCTGCTCCAAATCCCAGTCAAACTCTTAGAATAATTGAGTCGGAAGGAGCCTATAAAGCCGTTGAGTAAGGCCAAAGCTGGCTCGAACTGGTGCCTGCAAATCCCAGTCAAAGCAGAGATCTAAAGATGACTTACTTAGGAGAAAGGCCAAAGCTGGCTCGAACTGGTGCCTGTGAGTGTCATATTATCAGTTGGAACTCTCAGAATAGAGATTTATGGGATTTGTAGTCCAGAAATAGTAGCAGTCTTTGTTTTGTCCTGATACACCCTCAAATATTAATCTTTTCTACGTTGTAGTCTAGTCACTGGGAGATTCCATTACTGGAGTACAAAATTATGAATTTGCTGGGGGTTCTCCGGCCCAACCTGCCCTCTTCTTTGTCTCCTTCAGGGTATCATATCTTGCAGTACATGGAGGGCTGTGAGCTTAGCAGGGATGGGCAAAAAAGAGGATATGCCGCGTATGGCTACGATGGGAAGGACTTCATCAGCTTTGATAAGGAGAACCTCACCTGGATTGCAGCTGATGCCGTTGCTGAGGCCACCAAGAAAAGGTTGGATGCTGCCGTGGAATATAACCTGCAAAGAAAAGTCTACCTGGAGGAGGAGTGTGTCGCGTGGCTGCAGGAATCTCTGAACGATGACAAGATGGTTCTAATATCAGCAGGTGAGAGCTGCAAGGCATGGCATGGCCATTCGCTGCCTCGTATCCTGGAACTGCAGTGGAGGAAGGAGCCCCAAGGGTCATGTAGTCCTGCAGCTGGTGATGCAGGGAATCCACAGATAAAGCATCTCTGGCTGAGGGCCATCAACCTTTCCATGTTTCATGCGTGTGACAGTCCTTCAGATATTTTAGACAGCTATCGTATCACTTCTCAGCCTTCTCCTTTGCAGGAAAAATTGACCCAACTCCCTCCTCTGTAAGACTTTGTTTCCCTAAATCTTTCTTTACAATATGGAAGACATGCACTTTTAAAAGATGGGAGTCATGCACCTTATCCAGAGCCTAGAAAGTGATTGTCACATTATGTAGAACAAGACAGTAGATGTCCAGACTACAACTGTACACCTGACCAGCTCTGGACATCACCAGTGTGTACGATGAAATGTTAGGACAGGTTTCAGACAAATCTCACCTCCATTAGGAATTTTTCAATTTTCTTGGGAATGTCACATGACAGGCCTTGCAAGAAATCCTATCTGGCTGTGGGTTGGCCTTAGGACATGGTGTTCTATAGCAGGGGTCCCCAATCCCCAGTCTGTGGCCTGGTGCCGGTCCATGGCCATGGCAGGACCAGGCTGCAGAGACAGATCTCCCAGCCCCACATGCACTCCGCCCATATACCCAACCTACATGCATGGCCCACCACCTGCACACATGGGTGCCCCACCCCTCCGTGAGCATGCCCCAACCTTAGTGAGCATGCCCTGCCTCTCTGCGCATGCGCATGAGCTTACCATGCCAATCCATGAGCAGGGGGTGCCCCACACACTGCACATGGACCCCACCTCCCAACTGATCTGCGATTCAGAGAAGCTCGGGGGCCACTGTTCTACTATAGCATGAGTCCTAATGGAGAGAAACAGTTATGATATCATCTAGGTGGAGCATTTGTTCTCCGTAATGTGCTCAGTTCTATGCCAGTTTTATGACTATTTCCATCAACGTCCATACGGCACTCTGATTGGTTAGAACATTGACAAAATCTGCATGTTTGTGTGCTTTTAAAACTTTTCCTCCCACTGCATGGAGTTTAGCACTATGGTTCTTCTCAGTGGAATGTCATTTCCTCCATTTCATTTCCTCCTAATCGAATGCTTTTGATTAAAGTTTCAGTTAGCTCCTGCCACCAAAAAAATCTCCAGAGGAAAAGCTAGGTCATGTCTTAGAAATAATTTTTAAAAGTTATCATAGGGAGGACAATTTTAAATTTCTAAGTGGAGTCTTGGTAAGCTCCTTGATCCTTGTAACCATATGAGAGATATGTATCCTTTTCTGGAAGTGTCCTATGTTGACACCAACATTCCCATTTTTTCCCTGCACAGAACCTCCACGAGTGACTGTGACTTCCAAGGTCGGCTCTGATGGTCCGGAAACTCTTATCTGTCAGGTCTATGGTTTCTACCCCAAGCAGATTGAGATCAGGTGGAGGAAGAAGGGCCAAGAGATCTCAGAAAAAGACTCACCCCCTATGATTCTTGCCCCCAACTTGGATGATACCTACTACACCTGGAGCAGCATTGATATTGATCCCAAAGACAAGGACCACTATCACTGCCATGTGGAACATATCACTCTCCCACAGCCTTTGGATGTGGGCTGGGAGAAGCGTGGTAAGGACCAGCAGCTGCCCCTTTCTTCAGCAGGTTAAATGGCTAGAAAAGAACATGTGGTAGGGAGTCAGTTCCAGGGTGCAAAACAGATGATATTCTCCTGTGATCTTGGAACTGAAAGCATTCCCCACCTGTGGCATTATGTGTGTGGGGGGCAAGCAAAGTGGGGAGGGAAAAGTGGGATGCACCTCCAGGGTCCTTTGGGGGGCAGAAGTGTGACACCATGTGTTGGAGCAACAGGTTAACTGATAGATCATCCTTGTTTAGGTATGAGAATGAGGTGATAAGAAGGCTTTCAAGTTTTATTGTGTGACTGTGGGGGGGTCTGAATGAGTATGTGACTGGCTAGCAGAGAAGAAGTTATCGAATGAACAAAATAACCAGATGAAGGTGAGATGTTTCTCTCTCTACTTTTTGAGTCCAGACCCTTCCTTCTGTTCATCTTGCTTTAGCCATAGTACAGTGGTGCCTCACTTAGTGATGTTAATAGGTGCAGCAAAAATCATTGCTAACCGAAAACATTGCTAAGCAATTTTAAAAAGCCCATAGGAATGCATTGAAACCCCTTCAATGCGTTCCTATGGGCTTAAAACTTACCTTTAAGCGAAAATCCTCCATACAGCGGCCATTTTCGCTGCCCAGTATGTGAGGAATCCATCCCAGAAAACAGCAGGTGGCCATGTTTTTTACCCGGCGGCCATTTTGGAACCGCCGATCAGCTGTAGGAAAAAGATCACTATATGATAATCGGTAAGCGAAACAGCTTACCAATAATCACAAAGTGATTTTTCCTATTTAAAACATCACAATGCGATCACTTTTTCAATCGCAAATTCTTTGTCGCTAAGCAGTTTCGTCGTTAAATGGGGCGCTCGTTAAGCGAGGCACCACTGTACTAAGGGATCATATACAGTTATGATAAGCCAAAAGAAGAGTAAGAATTTACTGACTCAGACAACAACTGCCACAGTAAACAAACATAAAGCAAGGGAAAAGTCTTCAGGAGCACATGTCCTTTACGCTTTTGCATGTATGGCCTTCCCATCTACTACAGCGCTGCAACAATGACTCAAATTAAAGAAGGCCATCTACAGGAACACAATCAGTGGCAGGGATGTGTTGACAGCTGTCCTGCATCTTAAAGAATCAATGGAAAAAAACTAGTTAGTTATTAGTGACTCACAATGACATTTGCTTCTTTATTTAGAATCATAATTTTGATGAAGACTTTTTTTGGGCCAGCGAAGGAGATGAAGAAAACCAAATGGCACATGAAGAAATTATGCTTGGAAGATATACTGAGAGAGCCACTCAGGTTGGCTTCAAGAGCAATCTTGTGTGTGTGTAAGGGAGATATAAAAAGGAGAGAGAAATAAGTTATTGAAATATGTTGTTATTCTGTGCCATCGAGTAGCCTTCAAGTTATGAATGAGCAATATCCAAAATGTCCTGTCCTCAGCTTCCCTGCTCAGCTCTTGTAGACACAAGCCTGTGGCTTCCTTTTACGGAGTTGATCCATCACATGGTCTTCCACTTTTCCTGCTGCCTTCCACCTTCCCTAGTATTATTATCTTTTCCAGATAATCCTGCCTTCTCGTGATGGGCCCACAGAAGGACAGCCTCAGCTTCACAATTTATGCCTCCAGAGATTGTTCAGGCTTGACTTGATCTAGGACCCCGTTGTTCATCTTTCTAGCAGTCCAGGGTATCTGGAAAACGCTCCTCCAGCACCACTACATTTCAAACAGATCCGTTTTTTCCTGTCAGCTTTCTTAAATGTTCATCTTTCACACCCATACATGGTGACTGGAACTACAAAAGTGTGGATGATCTTGGTCTCCAGTAACACTTCCTTGCGCTTTTTTCTAATTTTGTCATTGATCCCCTTCTTAGTCTCAGTTTTTTTTTTCTGATTTCTTGGCTGCTGTCCCCATTGGGATTGATGATTGAACCAAGGTATACAAAATCTCTAACAGTTTCAATTTGTTCATTGTAAATGTTAAAATGGTGTAGTTCTTCTGTAGTCCATGATTTTGGACTTCTTAACAACCAACTGCTGTCCTGCTTTGGCACTTCCTTCTTTCGCTTTTACTAAAAGTCAAATCATTGCTGCTTTCTGCCAATAATATGGTGTCGTACATTATTGATGTTTTTTCCACCTTTAAAAAATGCTTTTAAACAGTCTTGAATGTAAGAAAGAATAAATAAAAACTAGTTTTTGTGTGTGAGAACTATATCAGAACTATATTTTAGAAATCAAAACCACAAAATATTGCACTTTCATCCTTTAATGCCCTAAACCCAACAGGTAATGGACCAGGAAAGCCAGGAACAGGAACTTTCAAGTAGGATAAGCCAACAATATTCACCACACCCTTGTAACTAGAGGAGCCTCATGCAATGAGTCTCAAGCATTCGAGTATTTGTTCCAACGGAAAACCAATATTGTGAAAAATAGCCTGGAATGGCAACTCCTGAGTAGAACAACCCAAGGGAATTCATCTGCCTCACTGGACTATTGGGACATGATGTTGGAAGGTGCTAAGCAACCACAGGAACTGTCGGAGATGACACAGACAGGTGAAGCATGCTGGGCCCATAACCTGTTGGAGTAACACTGGCATGTAGATTTCAGCCCTTTGAGATGCAGAATGATAGTCTAAGCCAGGGGTGGGCAATTCACTTCTATAGGGAGGCCGCATGAAAAATCTGAAGTGTGCCAAACTAACTTTACTTTAAAATAATGTTATGATGTTATGATTGTTTTTATTTTAAACTTGTTAATCTTCACAAATATTAAAGAGCTTTTTTGCGGTATGTTAAAGATAAGCAACTGATCAACTTTAGACAATGAATAATAATGAATTCTATGGCCAGATGGAGTGGCCATGGGCAGCCCCCTCAGCCCAGTTGTAGCAAACTTCTACATGGAGAATTTTGAAAAACTGGCCCTGGCTTCAGCACCCATCGCAACCACAGTCTGGTTCCGATATGTGGGTGACACCTTTGCAATTTGGAGTCAATTTGGAAGAATTTCTCAACCACCTCAACAGTATCCACCCAAATATACAATTCACCATGGAAAAAGAAATAGAGGGCCAGCTTCCGGTTCTTAGATGTCATGGTCCTACGCAAAACTGACCTCTGACTGGAATACAAGGTCTATAGAAAACCCACCCACACAGACCGGTACCTACACAAAAACTCCAACCAC